CAGTTTCCTGGAAAGGCGGAGTAAATAACAAACACATGCACCGCGATCTAGGTTGCGTCTATCCTTCCCTTGAAAATCTGCACATCCTAAAAAGGGCTCTTTTCCTTATACCACGTCCTTCAAAGAAAAACGTGGTCGCCGACACTCCTCATGGTATCCAGCTGATCTTCGTAGCATGTGCCGGGAAAAGCTGCTGTTGTAATACTTTACGCTTTTTTTTTGTACACAAAGGATTTCCTTTTTGGTTGAAGAGGAAAACTTTAGAGTAGCAGCACTATTTCACTGATAATTCATTGGCCGAGCCCACTTCCATTGAAGCTTGGACCATCATGTACGATCAGACGACATTGCTTTTTCGCGATTACTTGCAGTCAAGCCAAACAGTTAAACGCGTGACAAAAGGCGCCATGATAAACTGAATCATGTTTTTGTAGTGCAAGAACCACATTACCAATAACGGTTTAAATTGACAGTCAAGGTATTTAGGGCGCAACTATAGATATTAGAATTGGGAATACAGTTGTACATTTACCGCGTTTAAAACATGTTCGATATATTAACTGAACTCGACTGATGTCGCTCTACAGATGATTAAGTATACCGAAACCGGGCTCTACTTATACTAACGCAGGCTCCAAGTTGTGTTATAATTGGACAACTAAAGCAAACTACACATAGCCAGCATTTCGCAGACCCCGGCCCAGCAACAACAACATTAAAGCACATCAAAAAGACTACCACGCACAGATAGTTGGAAAATACATCTAATCACGGCAAAATCCGGGATACAAGAAAAAGTAAAAGTAAAAGGCTCCAGTAAACAACAGGTGCTGGCGCAGACACCCTAAGCAGAACACGCGAATCATTATCAATCCAAGAGCTTTCAAAAATCTTGACGCTCCCGAAACAGCGCCCCATACGCAATAATCGTTCCATATACCAGAACACCGCCAGTGACGCTCATGACCATAGCAACCGAACTGATAATTCCGGTATGTGCCAATACCAACGGTAGCCCGAGACCTGAAACAACCAAAACCGCAGTTAAAAACCGCCCAAAATCTGCGACTGACGAGCTAACATCTGCCAATGGATCTGATGATACGTAGTGTCCAAATACCGCATTTGGCACAGGCGCTAGCGCATAGGTGAATACAACCACTAGTGGCCACCAGTTACCGTACAAGGCACACGACAGTATTGAAAGCAGGAACCCTGCCGCCAAACACATTGACAACACCACAATTCTACAGGCACAAAAAAAAAAAAAAAAGCAAACCACAAGTGCTTTGGAAGCAGTTTTAGCCATACAAAATTTTGTAGAGTCCGAGCGCAGTCCCCACCTTTGGCTCCTAGCAGCAACCTTACGCTAAATGTTTGAATTTCCTGTGTGCCCGTCAAAAGTTCGCCGCCATGTGTAGTATACAGAGCAGTGGATAAAATAGATATAGACAAAACAGACAATTAGCACAATAGCATAGCAAGAATATGCCAAGACAATCAGCACTGCCAATGCACTAAGAATAACCCAAGGTAGCAATAATCCAGCGAAAGGACGCCTTACTTTTCACACCGGCGACCATGGTGAAAGGTATAGCAATGCGCTCTAGCAAAAATATAAAGCCAATTTACAGTTAAACAAAAAATAAGAGTACGCGAATTTGAGTTACAAAAGAGCGACAGGTAGACTGCATAAGAATGCAGCCACGTCAATAAGATTTCTCACAAAAAAAACCTATCACGTGATTTCTAAAATAGAATATAAAAATAAAAATATGCCATTGCCTGGAATCGAACCAGGGTTTCCACGGCCACAACGTGGTGCACTTACCACTGTACTACAATAGCCAATAAGAGAAATCCGTAACTTCACTTCTGACTTTCAAAAACCTGTAAAATATATTATCTTTATATTTTTTATTAAAAGCATGCGTATATTTTTTTAACGCCAGATTTTTTGAAGTATTGAAAGGCCGGTTAGTAAAAACAAATTGCATTTACAATAAAGCTGAAGACTTTTTTTTGATAAAACATAAAATACTTGGGGAGGGGGGAGCACTGCTTGATGCTATTACTTTCTTCATACCATCGCAGATGTACAGCATGCTACTGCGATGCAAAACGGTTTAAAACAATAAGACTATTATTGCTCATAAAAGTGGCATTTATATCAGAACCAAACAGAAGAAAAACTATCCAAAAAAAACCTATTTCCAGAATGGTGAGTGCTAGACACTAGACCTTAGCAAAGTCCTGGGTCCAGTAAAGATTGGTAACGCCAAAACCAACTGCGTTGTAGTCGCCAATTATATTCTCGTAGTGTCCGGGACTGTCCTTCCATCCTTGGACAACTTCAGTGACATCCTTGTAGTTCCATGCAACATTTTCTGCGACGCCGCTCCAGTCAATGCCGTACTGCGAGCAGCGGCTGCCCAGCGAGCCGGAAGGATCGGAGTGTGTCATTGTTGACGCAGAAGACTGATAGTTAGAATGTGCCTGGGCCATTGAATTCAGTCGTTCGTCGATAGTAAGTGGACCCTTGCCAACCTCTGCGCGAATGGCATTAACTTGCTGAAGCATCTGCGACTTCCAGCCGTCGTCTGGGTTGGAGGGTACTGCCGAGTAATATTCTGACGTAGGCTCGCTAGTCGAGTAAAGAGGCTCTTGTGTGTTGTAAGCTGTAGGACTATTGTGGCCATAGATAAACTTTGTCACTGTGTGCACCAGCTGCGGAAGACCCGTAGGTTGGGGCAAATAATTGGTGTTTACCTCATGATAGTCCCGACGAGCCTGCTCGGGGACCATCTGAATGGGGGCGGCGGATACCAATGCGCTTACCAGCAGCGATGTGGCAACAGCAACGGAACCAAGAAGTTTGACCATTTCTGCAAAATCTTATTTTTTTACTTTTTCGTGTGGTTAAAGGAAATGAACGAGGGCGGGTATGTCTTATAAATGTGCAGATATGGATGTCCGATCAACAGACCAAGCTATATCCGGTGAGAGGAGGAGGATGAGGAAAAGGAGAAATGAAGTGAAGTGAAAAAAAGAGACTGAGCAGAAAATGGAACTATGCCAAGGAGTTGAAAAAAAAAAAAGGTCCTGGGAGAAAATGTCAGGTCAGCGTGCGGGCCTTTTGTAGCACGCAGGATTCAGGAACACAGGTGGCAGAGGGAGAGGGATGCTGTGGTTGGTGTGCGGCTGAGTTTGGAAATGCAACAAGCTAGAGAGGAATGAATGGTCTCGGTTTGGGGATGTGTAGTAAGCTATGTGTGTGCCAGTAGTAAATGGGCCGCCTGTCATCAACCAACCAGCCAAACATGTCAGCTTGCCTGCTTTTTGAGTCTGCACATCCGCACAGTGATGCGATTCATTTGCCCGCCGCATTCTATACATCATGCTTGTCTTTTTTCTTTCTGGAATATGTCGATAGGTAGAGTGTAGGGATGTCAGTGGTGTCTTTCTGCGCATCCTGTGTGTCCTTGCTCTATCAGTCATCTGTGAGGGGCGCCCCAATGCATTCACTCGCTGAGCGGTTTGGCTTCCCACAGTGCACCTTTATATCTAAGCAGTATAGACTGATATGTGGCTCAGTCAGAGTAGAGACAGGCACTATGTTTTTTTTTTGCATGGAAACCGAAACTTGCACCATTTGACCGGCAAGACCAACTAGACACTGTCGTAAAAAAAAAAAAGATGTGTCGCTGGCTGCGACAAATAAGCAACACATTATCGTCGGAGAAAGAATGTCATCTGTCCTCAGCACGCGGTATTGCAAACAAAGGCCGCAATTGTTTAGCGTTTCCATTTTCTGTATTGAGAGTCTTTGTGACGTCCAACACATTGTCCTCCTTTCCCCTTCTGCTTACTTTCTATGGTCCACAGAATGGAATATTACCGCTATAAACCGCCAACGCTATTGGTCAGGCGGTAATTCAAGCTCTAGCTGCTCGGCTTAATTGCAAACCCGTGCACAATAGCAGCAGCAACAACAACAACAAAAGTTCTTTGCGCTCATAACATCAGCTACCACAAGTGGAACACATCATACTCTTTACCCGTTAAAGTCTTGCAATAAGAGCGAACGTAGATCCTCGGCTCTGCAAGGTGTTCCCCCCGTCAACTGCGCATCATCTGTGCTACATTGCAATAAGCTATTCTAGGCCCATGCATGTCCGGGTATTTATCTATGCACAGGTATCACACCGATCCATGCTGCCTGAGGGATAAGTTAAACAACATTGAGTGCCACAGCAAGCGCTTTGGCGTTTGAGTTACTGCGACATGTTTATTCAAAAAATTTGCATTTGTTTCGCCAACTTCACATTAATATTACTGCTATAACATATGGTTGGTCAGGCCAAACAAGCTTTAGTTATTGTAATCATGTTTTTTTTTCGTGCAAGTAAACGTCAAATAAGAACGTTCAGACAAAATGACAAAAGAAATAACAACAAAAAAAGCCGAATAAAAATCAAGCTTCAATGCAAATGTACAAGGCTATTGTAATCAATGTTTAAAAAACAAACGTATATCACTAGTAATACAAAAAAGCAAATGCAAAAAGGGGCTTTGCCGGGACTTGAACCCGGGACCTCTCGCACCCTAAGCGAAAATCATACCGCTAGACCACAAAACCAACCGTTATAATGACTATAGTAGCCAATTCTGAAGTTCAAGGTTTTTGTATAATCATCAATATAATACAAAAAAAATGTGCTGTTTTTGCGAGCTACTGATTGGAACCTGTTGAAATATACATCCCCACATGTAAACGCATTTTTCTGGTTTTCATATCTCTTTTTGCTTTCCGAGATTATTTTCCGATTATCTTTTATGCTCTTCTTTAGTTCCCTAAGCGCGTGCGGTGAATTTGACATGCCTTTTAGCGTAAAGGTGTAGGAATTTCTATAGTTGGCTATGCTTAGCTTTTTATGATTTCCCAACGTGTACTTCTAAGAATAAAGAAAAATAATTTAAAAGCAAGGTCAACAAAAGAGTGTCAACCAGAGGATTCGAATTTATGCTGGGAATACCTAACAGATTCTAAATCTGTCACCTTTACCGTTCGGCCATACTGACCCCAGATCGGCACACATAACGACTACGTTAACTAAATAATTAACCAAGTAGTATAAATAAAGCTATTGAGAAGATTCACTAGCAAGTGACACTATATAGTCATACTCGCTGTTTCTTACCGGCTGAACCGATAGTCGACCCCGTTTAATAAGAGACATTTCCTCTAGTTGTACATGTTGCTTCAAGTCGTTGAGAGCAAGCACTTTTCCAAACTTGCGCTCAAATTTGACATCAACCTAACAGATACAGCCCAGTTGTTTGGATATTCTAGAGTTAGCATACATCATACCTGCACGTTAACACAATGTTCAAAGACATTGAGGAATAACACAGTCTTACCATATACCACTTTGGTGAACTTTTGTCGGATTTTGGATCATAGTACGGATGGTTGATATCAAATGCGGTGTAGTCTGGGTAACCACAACGGACAATGGTTATTATACCGGCTATTCCAGGTTCCTTGCAATTTGAATGGTAGAAGAGCGCCTTGTCCCCAGCTCTCATCTTATCGCGCATAATATTCCGTGCTTCATAATTTCTTACACCATCCCACGGTGAGGTAGAGTCCTTCATTGCCTGTAGGTCGTCTATGCTAAACTTAACATCTACGCCCTTGACAATCCGTGAATCGGGCTCGGCCTTCATCAGCCAATACTGTGTTGACTACATCACACACTTCTCACTTGAGGATATCATTAAGAACAATATAGCTTACCAGTAACACAAACACCAACTCGTAGTAAAAAAAAAAGACCAAGCACAACTCCTTTTACACTACCTCTGCTGTTTTGTGCTTTACGTTTTTATTTTCAACCTTGATTGGCGGCGTATTCGGGGGTTTTAGGCTGGCTTTATTTTCACTCGAAAGCAAACGCAACGATCTGCGGAGGGGAGGCATCTAATGGGGTTTATGTTTGTTAGATTTCAAAACAGCTAGTGTTGTAAACAAACAAAATAGCAAGAAAGCAGTATTGGAATTAAGCACTTCAAAATGTGTTTTGGTAATGGGTCGGGCGTTTATTCCAAAGTTTATTCGGGCAACCCACTATAGGCTCAGACGCAAGTCTATGGGATGTGGACCAGCCGTTTACTGCTTGAAAGTTGTTGTTTGTGGTTTAATGCCAACGTTCTATCAGTCTGAAAGGTTATAAAGAAGGAGTAGTAACATCACCTATATGTTTACCTAGGCGTTAGACAAACGTTCTCACTATTCAATAATCCTAGTTTTAGTACTGGAAAGCGGCTTTACAGGCAAAAGTACCAAGGTTCGTAATTTTTTTTTTTTTTAAAAAAAAAAAAAAGCCTAAGGGTTTAGATGGTATAAAAACTAACAATGTTTGTTTGTTCGGGCGCAAAAAAATAAAAGGTCATAAACATCATATATTTCTAAGCATAACCATATACTCATTGCTACGTTTCTGTCAAAAAATATCACTTTATTATATACAAGTATAGACACTAAAATGAAACACACACTATCAACATCAATTGGCGTACTGACACTCGTGCTTGCAGCACAAGGATCACTACTCGGCAAGTTACTCGGAAATCTAAACGTTCAGATTAATGCCTGTCCAGAGATTGTCCTTAACGCATCAGGCGACACAGCATCCAGCGGCAAACCGCAACCACAATCCAACAATCCTGCTTGTCCCAACTATGTCCCACCGGGGCAAGTTCACAACGACAGCCTTAATTTTAAAGAACAAACTGATTTGGACCAGAGTGGCGAGTCATCTCAGCCGGAACCATCACTTATCATGGTTAGCTATGCCGAGGAAAGTACGGCAATCGCAGACGAGCGCACAAACCGGGCACCTGAAGCGCCAGTACCACAGTTGGAGGCATCATCTGTTGTGGCCAACAGTATTGGGGCAGACATGTTAAGCATGTTAATTGCATATACACAAATAGACCAAGCTCCCGGATTACCAATGCTACAACCAGCTGTAACTGCAAACCCAGCGTCTCAGATGTCAACACCTTCCTACGCCCTATCTCCGCTTTCGTTTATACTGCCAACACCCACAAATAGGGACATTCTGGCAGAAGCTACTGTGATAACAACTGCTAGTAGGGCGTTTGAATCCAGCCCAACGGTTTCCACCATTGCAGAGCCGAAAAAGTGCGCGGATTACACACAACCTCGTGAAAACACGGATGTTATAATCGAGGGCTTGCCACAAACCTCAAGCGCGTTTATCATGCCCATGCAGATGCCTGCAATTCCCGCGCCGCTCCAGGAAGACCAGGCTTGGTATCAGGCAGCAATGCCGACACAACAGCCGCAACAACCTCAACCTCAACAACCACAGCTGGAGTGGGAATGGTTTGCAACACAAACAGCAGCATTTGTACCACCGGTCTCCGGAGAGTTTCTTGCAAAAGTTGCCGAAACCACGCAAACCATCCATATTCCTGATGGAGCCGAAGGTGTGTTTTTCGGGACGCGCAATGTCGGCGCCTTTCCAATTTAGTAGCTAAATGTTTTTATTAATCTAATTAGTAGTCAAAACGTTTTAGACACGATATGTTTTTAATACTACTTGTGCAATTTTTATTTTTTTTATTTTTTTAAGTGAAAATTGGCAAACGTTTTCTACAGTGTTATTGGCCGAATTTGATAATGCCCACTATATCTTAAAAGTCTACGCAATGTGTATCTCATGGATGTTCCCAAAAATCAGGAAAAATAAATACAACCGCATTCTCAACGTTGTGGTTCATAAGAAATATAACAAAAACAAAATGGAGCCTTGTAGAGAATGAGAAATAACCGTGCAATAGATAAAGAGCTGTCAGTGCAAGCACATCCTATCTTCGCCGCGTCTTTGCTTTTGTGCATGCTCCTACATCCCTTGCCATATTTCTAGCCTTTTTTTATTTGACGCTTACAAGTCTTTCAACGTGTACCCGCAGAATATATACATATCGTATAAGATGATCAGTATTCTCAAATTCGTTGCGGTCGTTTTTGCCTCGGGCATTGCCGTTCTTGGATTGTCCATCGAGGATGCAGTTGAAAAGCGGGCTCTTTTGCCTGCGCTGCTTGGAAACGTCAACCTTGTGGTCTCTGCTTGCCCCGATGTTGCAATTGGCGGCGGTGGTGGTCAGGCTTGCGTGCGGCAGGATTCGAGCGTGGCTGCACTTCCAACAGATCATACGCCGCCCTACAATAACGTTCAGCCGCCTCTGTCATCTCCTCCAGCACCTGCCTTGCCAGCACCTACTTCTGCGGCACCTGCTCCTCCTATTCATCCCTCTCCCGCTCCCGCTCCTGCGCCCGCCCTTCCTGCTCCCTCCACACCTTCCCCTTCCCCTGTTGCCTACCGGGCACATCCTTAAATTAAATAGCGGCGACTCATTTTTTAATTACCCGCATATACCACACAGCTAGTCGGAATCTAGAACTAGCACAAAGGCGTTTATCATTTTTCAGATAGTTTGCCTTGTTTAAAAATATATATCATTTATCTCAGCGTTATTCTAAAGCGATAACTGTGCAAATAAAAATAGGATTAATTGTATGCTAGCATATTTAAAGCATCTGATGCCTCGACTACTAGTTTTCTAAATGTATCTGTTCTTAGATCTGGCGCATCAGCGGACCCTTCTTGAGGCAAACTCACTTCGGCTAAATCAAATGCAGAACTGTGCTTAAATGCGCGCAATTTCATAATAAGCGCATCTAGATTGGAGATAGGAGAGGCTGTGTTAAGCTTGCGACATATTGTGCGATGCGCCACCAGCGCTCCGAGCAGAGAACCAAGGGATTGTCCATGACCGATGGCCAATGTTAGCCCTTGATCGAATCCCTCTTGCATAACCTCAACTTTGCTTGCATCGATGCCTTCCTTGTATCCCGCGTTTGCAAATGCGCGCTCAAGCTTTGCTAGAGATTGAGATGCGATGGCGCGCTCGCTGCTAAGGTCATCCTGCGTCAAGTCCCAAACGTCATTATCAATATCCTTAACTGGCCCTGCTGGGTTCATTGTATTTTTCGCCGCCCGAAAAATAAAGTTTTGCTGTCTCTATAGGAAGAGGGTACAGGGGAGTCTAATTGGATTAGAAGTAAGGTTTAGGGGCTCTAAGACAATTCCGCCAGCTTGAACCGATAAGCAACCATCATGATTCTACAAAGGAGCAATGTTGTGGGTGTGAATCACAACCACTCGCTTCCATTATCATTATTGCGGATTTAAGGAAAAAAAAAAAAAAAAAGATAAATGTCTACATACAAAAATCATCATTCCAGTCTTGCTATTGTAGGCGCCCACACTCATCCGTCCATGCGTATCTAACGCATATACGCACGCCACACGTGAGATGGAGAATCTGGAAAAAAGATTCTCATCCCTAGCCAAAAATGTTGCCTAGTCTTTTAACTAAACTGTTTCATCCCTTCTTTGTAGAAGAAAAAACCAGAACCTAAACCGACTGTGATGTACAAGTTGATCATGTGCAGGATTCCCATATGGTGCTGCGTGCGGATCTGGTCCTCAGAGCCGCCAAGGGTCATGTGTGGAGAGAAGCAGACCTACAAAAGATCTTGCGGAAAAATAATCATGTTTACTTTACTGTTATAAGCTCCATCTTCTTACTTAAATACCGTCCTATCAATCATGGTGTTTACCACTGCTGCTGGATCAACCCTGAAAATCAAAAAAAAATGTTACGGATAGCTTCTTTTGGTTATGATTTGCAAATGTGGTTGCACCTGTGAAATACCAGATCATTCTACAAAGGTGCCAGTTCTCGGCAAAATTCCAGAAATGGAAAGATCGCGCCGCGCTGCCTTTGTATTCATCCACGCTCACAAAATGAATAAACCAGACAAACATTGTTCAAAAACCATGCGCTACCGCTATCCTTCGAAATACATAGATTTTTTTTCTGCTTTTTTCTTCGTTTTAATTCTAAACAAAACCCATTTGTATTCATATATTTTGCCATTAATACTTACACCTTAATATTTCAATATAGTGCGGTTGTGCGAG